TCAACACAGAAGAGATGAGAGGAAATGTATCAAAGAGTACATATGAGATATGAAGGATAGATAAAAGCTGAAATTACTGAAATAGAAAACCAAAAATAAGTAGAATTGATCAAAGAACCAAGAGTTCATTCTTTGAAAATAACTAATAAAATCAGGTAAGCCTCTAGGAAGGCTGTACAAGGGGGAAAAATAGAAAGAAGACTCAAATGAACAGTATTAAGAATTGAAAAAAGGAGACCTACCTAAGGCTGCTATGAGTCCATCTGGTGCCTTTGTGGGATGAGAAAAGTGCCTCCTTAGAGCAGATGCAGTCTTGTAAATACTTTTGTACAAGTTAAAAAATAGCCTTCAACCAGGATATACATCTCAGCGAATGTAATGTAGCTTGGTGTTCAGTCTACTCACTGCCTTGGCTGGGTACTTGTGTGTAGTGAACAATCTGCCGTCTGTGGACATAATTAGAGATACAGTAGAGATTGTTCAAAAATCGTGAACATAGTAAGAACAATAGTAGCTGCTTATTTGTTGAAATTTTAAAAAATAGAAATGGAAACAGGTACTGTATGTGCTTCAGTGATGACAAACTTGCAGAATACCAACTGGTGGGAAAATCTGATCTAGTGGAAGTTTTCCTTTACTTCTAAAATGCTAGAAAAGGCTTTCAAACAAACATTTAGAATTTTTAACACTAGCTTTGAATCAAAACAGTGTATACTTTTCGCTACTCTTCTTAATCAATGCGTTACATACAAATAGTGCACAAAGGCCTATATCAAAGGATAACGGTGCCTTGAGCCCTTTCCAGACCTTGCCCCAATCCTGGAGGCATCCACTTTTACTTCCTAGCTGTTTCTTCTGGCTTTTACTTCTGTATTTCTAAACAAAGTTATCTCTTGATTCTGTAAATAGACACTGCTAAGCCAAATTATATTATGACTGCCATTCTTTTATGTAAACAATTTTGTTCTTAATTGGCATTAATATTTGCTTCATTTTTTTTGTTGTCTTCTTTATTTTCTTTGCTAGATCTTCTCTCACTTCCAATAGCTTGTTAAAAGATGTGCCAGTTCAATCAACAAGGAAGCTGAGCTCTGTTTAGGTTCCCCCTTCCTGCTCTTGAGCCTGTAAAGTGCCTCTTGGTAGAAAGCCATGGCAGTGCTTGGGCTAATCTTACTTGTTTCCCTTCTCTCAGCAATCGCAGTCCTTCACTGCTGGTGTCCAGTGTGTGAAAATGGTTGTTTCGTGAATTTTGCCCTATCATCTAGTTTTTTAACAGTGGCAGGATACATCTGGTTTTTGTTATGCCCATTATGGCCAGCAATGGGAGTTAAGTGTATTTGAACAAAATAAAAGAGCACTGGATCCCATTCTCTTGGCCTAGATGTTACAGTGTAGATCTGATTGTAATATTATCAAACAGTTGCAGGTTTTTATCTTGCTTGTTCTAAGATATTAAAAAGAGTCTCTAAATGATTTTGAATTAATTGTGTCAGCTGAAGAATAGTATACATCACAGGTTTGTAGGGGCTGGCCCCATGGCCGAGTGGTTAAGTTCGTGTGCTCCGCTTTAGCAGCCCAGGGTTTCGCCTGTTCGGATCCTGGGCATGGACATGGATGGCACTGTTCGTCAAGCTGTGCTGAGGTGGTGTCCCACATTAGCACAACCAGAAAGACCTATAACTAGAATATATAACTGTGTACTAGGGAGCTTTGGGGGAGAAGAAGAAGAAGAAAAAAAGATTGGCAAGAGATGTTAGCTCAGGTGCCAATCTTTTTTTTAAAAAAAAAAAAACAGTTTTGCAGACTTTTTCTCTAGAGACCAAATAGTAATATTTTAGACTTTGTGGGCTATCCAGTCTGTGTCACAACTACTCAACTACATGACTTTCATGCTGTTGTAGCATGAAAGCAGCGATAGCCAATATGTAAATGAGTGTGGCTGTATTCCAATAAAACTGTTTAGGTACACAAAAATTAGAATTGCATATAATTTTCATTTGTCATAAAATCTTATTCTTTTGATTTCCCCCCAACCATTTAGTAGTGTAAAAATGATTCTTAGCTCATGGACCAGGCAATGGGCTGGATTTGGCCTATGTTTTTGACCCTGATATAGATTCTCAAATAAGCCCCATATTCTCTATTAATGTAGCAAATATGGAACTTACTAAATATTTCTAGTTTTCTTGATATTTCTGTCTTGGGTGTCCAAAGTGGGAAAACTTAAAGTCCTTTGTATTGGCATGTGTGAGGAACAGAAAGTAGAAAAGCAGGGAGAAGAGGAGAGAGGAAGGGACAGTGGATTAGCTTTGGGAGTGTAATTAATCTGTCTGAGGCACCAGTTGGTTAATTCCATTTGTTAAGCATTTATTGAGACCCACTGTGTTTTGACACTGTGCCAGATACTGTAGATACTAGGTAGTGTGCAGTTTAGTCTTTGTCCTGGCAAAGTAGCAAAGACAGATAATTGTAAATAGACAAATAGTTACTGAAAAGATTATGGTATAGCAATATAAATATGCCTAAAATTATTTAGGAAGCAAAATGTATAGTAGAAATTATGAAGAGCTGGAAAAAAAGTGAATTTTAAGGCCTTATATGCTGTGTTAAGGTGCTTGGCCTTTATTCCACTCTCTAGTACAGTGTTTTTCAGACTGTGGTGTAGCATCAGAGTGAGGTGTTTTTTTTTTTTAATTTTCCAGTCCATCGTGGTCTAATAGTTTTGAAAAACACAATAAAAATGATAGAAAATGAAATAAAAATATTATGAAATGTAGGTCTAAATTTTTATTTAGATTGAAGCAACATAAAATTGCTCTTTAAGATTGCTATAAAAGTTTGTAAACACTCAACTTTTGTACTTATCATGAGTGTTAACGCATATTTCATGGCTGGTAATTCTCAGACTGCCACTGGTCTGTGGGGCCACACTTAAGAGTGATATTGATCTCCTGGATGATTTGGGATCTGTGCAGGTTTTTTAGCAAGGAATGGCGTAATTATATTTGTGTATAGCATAATGAATTTTTTGGCAGTAGGAGGGATAATTAGGTTTTTGGCTAGAAGGATAGAAACCGCCTGGAATCAGCATTTGAAGGGTAGCTTAAAATGGAGGAGAAGGTGAAATTGACTTTCTTTATACTGATAATTCATGTAGAGAATAATTTCCCCAATAGGCTATAAGCTTCTTGTAGGCGGGGACTGTATTTCTTTTAGTTACTACATAAGCTAGGCACTTCAGAACTGTTGAATGAGTGAATGAATGAGTCAGAGAGGTAAGGCAGAACCAGGAAAGAGTAGAGTGTTTAAAACTAGAATAAGAAGAGTTTCAGACTGAGAATATAATAAACAGAATCAAATACTTTCAAATCAAGGAAGATGATAATTGATAAGTATTTATTAGATTTAGTATTTGAAAGTCCTTAGGGAGATCAGCTTTAGCAGTATGATAAACTTAGAAGCTGGATTATAATGTGTTGCCCATTTCTATTGTCCACTAAGTGAATGAGTAGAGGTACGCTTTAAAATGTGACACTTCATTAATTAATGTTAATTAATTAATTGAAGAAGAAAAGTAGGATAATAATCTTTACTATTCACTTAATATTGTCTGTGAATGTAAAATCTATAATGTATTTTTTTTCCATTTCAGCAGGGGAACTAAATCTCTATAAAATGGAATTGAAATGGTTTTTAATAATTGATTCTAATTTGAGAAGAAAATTGAAATGTGAATAATTTGCTTGGTCTTGTTTCAAAGTGATTTTTAGTAAAATAGTTATGTGATATTCTTTATGGGATTTTTTACTAGAACTTCCAATAACATTCTGTTTTTATCAAATAATGAAGTTTACTCCTATTCTCTACTGCATCAGGCATGTATTTGGCTAAAAGTTTGTAGGAAAAAGATTATGGTTGAAAGTATGTGGGATACAACTTCTTCTGAAGAGTCAGAAGTGAAAAGTGTTTGAGGGTTGTTAATGCCAGAAATAGAAGTTGTGTGGAGTATCATTATAGTACTTAATTTAACAAGTTCATTTTGTCGTTTACTTGCTTTATTTCTTATAATCATGTTTTAGTAGGATTTTTAAATTGAAGAAACATCCATTAATCTTGACATCTGCTGCATAAGTGATGGGCATTCATATACAATCCCTGTTGGAATATTGGTACTTTGTCATCTTTTACTATTGTGCAGATGAAAACTTGTTTTGTAGTTTGCTTCTATGATTGCTTTTTTAATTTTTTAATTTTTATTTATTTATTTATCTTTGAGGAAGATTAGCCCTGAACAAATATCTACTGACAATCCTCCTCTTTTTGCTGAAGAAGACTGGCTCTGAGCTAACATCTGTGCCCCATCTTCCTCTACTTTATATGTGGGACACCTGCCACAGCACGGTGTAACAAGCAGGGTATAGGTTGGCACCCAGGATCCAAACCGGTGGACCCTGGGCTGCGAAAGCGCACTGTGTGAACTTAATCATTGCGCCACCAGACCGGCCCCTGTGATTGAGTTTTTTTTCTTTTTTTGAGGAAGATTAGCCCTGAGCTACCATCTGCTGGCAATCCTTCTCTTTTTGCTGAGGAAGACTGGCCCTGAGCTAACATCTGTGCCCATCTTCCTCTACTTTATACGTGGGATGCCTACCACAGCGTGGCTTGCCAAGTGGTGCCATGTCTGCACCTGGGATCCGAACCGGCGAACCCCGGGCCGTCTGAGCGGAACGTGCGAACTTAACTGCTGCGCCACCAGGCCAGCCCCTATGATTGTTTTTTTAAAAAAAATAAAATAAGCTTTGGATATTTTTTCCCATGTTTCCCCTGAAAAGATTATGATCATTTTACATTATAGTGGGTAATGAAAGTCCGGGATACTTAAGATAATCCATAATGTTACGTGAAAGCTAGAATCATTTTTATGCTTTTTTTGGTTATTAAATATAAGCATTCAGCACTTTCACAATAATTTCAAAAGTTATCTCTAAATTTTTCCGTAGAAGGAAGACCAGCAAGAAGTGATCCTTGTCAGAACAGATCAGTCTGGAAGAGTATGGCCTGTGAACACACCAGGAAAACCTCTGGAACCTAAAGGAGGAAGAAGGAAGAGACAGATGGTATATTTAACATATGTCTTGGTTTATTAATTCAGAATATCTTTTTTCCCCCTTGGGCTTTCTTTGCATCAGACTACTTCAAAATATTGTCTGAAATTTAGCTTTATAATGCAAACATTAGAAAATAGTAAATTATGTTATTACTTTTATTCTTAGTTATATCCCTTTGCCTTTTACTAAATGGAATCCAATTCAGCTACAGTTTTCAAATGACTGTGAACATTGAAGGTTTGAGGCAATTTTAATTTTAGTGTACATTTCTTTGATGATGTTTCTAGTTGCTTTTTACATATTTACCATAGTTCTTAGGCAAACCTTTGGTCTCCCAGACCTGTTATCTGTGTTAGCTTATATGAGACCTGGTGATAGGGTATCCACGTACAGTAAGATCTTAAAAGTATGTAGTTGCTGTGATTCTTTATAAACCCAATTTTCTTTTCCATCTTCCAGCTCCCGCAATTAGTTTTTAGTGCTATCTTGAGACTCTTGAGATGGCAAAAACAACATATGCAGTTTTCCCGAGTTAGATTTTTTGTTTTTAATTTGAAAGATCGTACAAGTGGTAATTGGGTCCACAAAAGATTTTTTCATTCAGAATTTTTCTGTCAGATGTTTGTTATTTGTCTGTTGAGTGCCTGTGCTGCTGGAGATAGTATATAATTCATGCAGCAAACAGAAGTGGGATAGATACTTCTTCTAATGAAATGGGAGGACTTAGGGGTTTGGAGGGGAAATGAGGCAGGAGAATAGTAAAGGTTTGAATTATATGAAATGACAGAACTGGCTAGGGATCCATAGATACGTGGCCACATGGCATCAAGGACTCTTTTTGAATTGTTTACTACTGAGCAGCTCAGTATAAGAGTAAACAGGGCAGACACATTCATTCCGGATTGAGGTTTGCTTTTTGAGTGTAATGAAATGATAAGAGGGCCAGAAATTAAGGGTCTGGAGCCAGGAGTGATTGAAGTCATGGAATTTGAGATTCAAGCTAGTGAAGATAAGAATAGTAATGTTGGATAAAAATATTGGGAATGTCGTTCCAAAGATCTCAAAGAAGTAAAGAGCAGGTTTTATGTGGATATGGGAATGTGAGAACACTTTTGGGGAGATTTGATTTGGTAGGAAATAAATGGCATTTTTCTTTCCCACATCTACATATGGAACCAACTGATAGGAAAACTCAGGGTTGATTTAGATGCGAATCAAAATATCAGCTTTGTTTCTGATAGAACTGCTTGTAGTGGGTTTGCTAATACTTCACCTCCATGTTCCATATGCTTACTGGAGCTCTGGATAACTACAGACTTCCCTCCAGAGTGGTAGAGGATTTTTACTACAAAGAGGAGAAGAGCAGAAAGGAGAGAAGAAGGGATAAGGCAATTGTTCCTTTTCCCCCAAACTCAGAAATCAGATAATGTCATGCCTCCATCCCTGGGGAAAAGGAAAGTAAAGGGACAGAAGAAGGAGGCAGTGTTATTCTAATGGAAATTCTCTCACATGGAAGCAGATAGAATAGAGATTGTGATACATAGTGGGATTTTTGCCTTTAATATCAGATTTATAGGTAATTCATTAAAAATACTTCAGAAACTCATGTTTTCCCTAGATTAATAATGTTCATTTTGTTGTAGGCTTTAACTCATGAGGAAAAAGAAAGGGTCAGATACTTTCATGATGATGATAATCTAAGCCTAAATGATTTAGTCAAGAATGAAAAGATGGGAACAGCAGAAAATCAGAACAAACTTTTTATGAGAATGGCATCTAAGGTAAGGTATATTCCTAGGATACCTTTGAATTTTGAGAAGCTGATTACTCAATGTAGCAATGATAGACTTTTCAGAGAGAGCTGGTTCTTTCTAATCTTGATTTATTTTATTGAATTAAATCCTTTGTAAGACATATTAGGAACATGCATTTTGGAATGGATTTGATTGGGAAATATGTATTTAGATTTAGTTTGTTTTTAAGTGTGGACTCTGGTTTAGTTTTTTAATGTATTCCATGAAAACATGAATTATGTATTTCATCTATCATTTAAGGGAAAGTTTTGGGCCAGAATTTAGTGTTGGAAACATGCTGCTATGCTAATTAGGTTACCAGTGTGTTTTGTCTTAATGTTCCTCCAGTTCTTCATAATTATGTCACAAGGAGTATATTTGGAGTAACATATTATGAATTATAGAGAAGGCATCTTGGAATAATCTTAAGTCTATTTATATGAAAATCTTATATTTTATATTTATATGAAAATGTACGTTAATACATCATTATGGGCAGTAGGATGAATTTTTGTTTCAAATAGCATTCTTTCTTGCAGTCCCTTCCATTGCAATCCCTTCTAAACACTACCATTAAAATTTTTTGTAAAAGAGACGTATTTAAGCTTGGCTCTATGTCAGGGTTTGATCCTAGTGGAAAAATTCAGCTTACTGCCTATATTTTCAAATAAAGTTTTATTGAAACACAACTATGCACATTTGTTTACATATTGTCTCAGGCTGTTTTCGCTCTGTAACGGCCGAGTTGAACAGCTGTGGCAGACTTTATAGCTCACATAGCTGAGAATAATTACCATCTGGCCCTTTACAGAAAAAATTTGCCTATCCCTGCCTTATGATACTGGTGGTTATTTTTTGGTGGTATGAGTTTGAATGAACTAGGTGTTTGAGGGCCAGGAGGGATACTTTTTACTGTATACTTTGTTGAGACTTTTTTTTTAAACTATGTGAATATATTACCTGGTGAAAAAATTAACTTTAACGAAAACTAGAATAAAGGTACCAAGGTAATCTGTGTGTGTATGTGTGTGTTGGGGGGAGTAAAACAAACTTGGATTTAAAAAGAAGTGGTCATTCTTTCTACCTCCAAGAATTGTGTGGAATCTTAAATTTAGCCCTTTAGGATCATTTTACTACTCTTTATTTTGGAGGAAATACTGGAAATCTCCTAGGGTCTAGAAAGTCAGTGCAGAAAGAAGGACATATTTTTATTAAAGTTTCCTTTCAGAAATGGGACAGATAACTTTATGTGGACGTCCGAATTAAATATAGTTTTGGTAATCTTATCATAGTCTATTCAAGTTTATACACAAGATTTAAAAACTTGTTAAAAATTGTAATGGTCATTTATTAATTCAGTAATTATTTATTGGACACCTAATTTGTACTAGTTTCCATTCTAGATGCTGGGTGTAGAGAAGCGATCAGATCACAGTTCTTTTCCTCAAGGAGCTTATATTTCTAGTGGGTGAGACAGAACATGAACAAATATGTGATATAAAATATTACATAACTTAAATGATACACAGTCAAGTGTTGCTTAACAATAGGGATATGTTCTGAGAAATGTGTCATTAGGTGATTTTATCATTGTGCAAACATCGTAGAGTGTACTTACACAAACCTAGATGATATAGCCTACTACATTCCTAGGCTATATGGTAGTAATCTTATGGGTCCATCATTGACCTAAATGTCATGCCGTTCATGACTGTTTTACACAATAGAAAATATTTTTGTAAGGAATAAAGCAAAGTAGAAGGAGGTAGGATGATATTTTCAGTAAAGTATTGAAGGAAGGCCTCTCTGTGGAGAGGATGTTTCCGCGGACTTTGAACAAAGTCAGGGAGTGGTCCATGTGAATACCTGGGGGAAGAATATTCATGCAGAAGAAAAGCAGATGCAAAGGATCTGAAGCAGAGACAAGCTTGACGAGCATTAAAAGACAGCAGGGTGACATATGTGACTGGAAATAGAGGGAGAAAGGGAAAGAGAAGAAGAAGATGAGATGGGAGATACCATAGCAGGAGTTAGACCATGTCAGGTCTTCTAGGCCATGGTGTAAGAACTTTTGTTTTTGTTTTAAATGATAGGAAGCCATTTGAAGGTTTCTAGTAGGACAGTGTCATATCTAGTTTATGTTTTATAGTTGTTCCACAGTTCTGGCATATTCTGTTCTAATTTTTTTGGTCTTGGTTCTCTCTGCTTTTCAGTTGTGGAAGTTTCTGTTGTCATATCCTCAAACTCAGAAATTCTTTCCTCAGCCATCCAGTCTTCTAACAAATCCATCAAAGGCATTCTTTATTTCTCTTTTAGTGTTTTTGATCTTCAGCACTTTATTTTGGTTATTTGCTTAGAATTTCCATCTCTCTGCTTACATTATCCATCTGTTCTTGGTGAGCCTGTGCACTTGGACTGTGAACTTCACCTGTACGTCTCAGTCCATCCTTCCCCATTAGTTGGGATAGGATGGCTAGGGGAGGCTGGAGTTGGGTGTATCCCTTCCTTTGAGTGGATTAAGCTCTGATAAAATCCCAGCAGGTTAAGCTCTGAGGGTAATCCTTGTTAAGAATAACAGAACGCTCCAGTGTGTTTCAAAATGGTTCCTTTTCCCTCCCCCTGCTGGACGCGGGAGAGGATTTTCCTCATCATTACTGTGAGGACCTGATAGAGCTCCTAAAGGTAAAACTCACAAAATTAAGGGAGGACCCCTGTGTTTGGGTCCCGCTGAAGTTTTTAACTCTCCGACTTGTCCACACTGAGCCTCTGGCAATTGGTCAATTACAGTTTAGTTTTTCCTGCCCTGGCGCTGGTTCCCACAGAACTATTGGTTTCTGCACAGACAAATTTTGATTCTCTGTACCAACCTGTCTCTCTGATTTTTGGGGTAGTCACTTTCTTGATGGATCTAAGAAGAATTGTTGATTTTTCAGTTTGTTGAGCTTTGTGCTTCTTGTTGGGGCAGAGTGGTGACTTCTCAGCCCTTTAAGTGCCAGACTGGAAACTGCTGGTTTATGTTTTGAAAAGGTTTTTCTGGCAGCTCTTTGGAGCAGGTAAGGTAGAGAGGCAAGAGTGGAAGCAGGGTGATTATTTAGAGGATAGCGCACTGATTCAGAGAGACCCTTGGATTAGGTCGTAAACTGGTGAGAAATGCTAGGATTTGGGCAATGCTGATATCATTTATTGAAATAGAAAACTTTATAGGGGGACAGATTTTGTGGGAGGTGGGAGGTCAAGAATACTGTTATGGACGCATGAAGTATGAAATGCTTGTTAGACATTTACACGGTGGTGTGGTGTGACTGCCTATGGAACTCTACGTAGATGTTGGTTGTCTCATATAGATTTGGATGCTGCTGTAATTTAAATGTGTTTAAAGCTGTGAGATTTAAGAAATTGTTAATGAGGAGAGTCTAAAGACTGAGCCCTGGAGCATTGTCTGGAAGAGAACAAAAAAGATTCAACGAATGAAATTGAGAAGGTGCAGTCATTGAGGTAGAATGGTATTTTGGAAGCCAGAGAAAACAGGAAGAAGGTTGTGAATAACTGTGTCAGCTGCTTCTGAGAGGTTGAGTAAGATCTTTGAAGATGGAAAAGTGACCGTTAGATTTGTTATTGTGGAGGTTTCTGGTGAGTTTGATAAGTGTGGTCTCCTTGGTCTAATAAGGAGAAAAGCCTCATTGTAATGGGTTAAAGAGTGAATATCAGGAGATTCATGAAGAGATGGCCTTAGAAAGGAGCTGGTTACTTTCCATTGATTGTGACTGGAGGAAAGGCAGAGTATTAAAGTGTACAGATGCAGGTAGGTTTGTAAATGTGGTAGAAGAGAAATGAACTAGTTTTCTTCTTATTGCTTCTGTTAGTTTAGTGAAAAGACTAAAGTTATCAGCTGAGAGTGATGGTGAAGAAGGGGTGTTAGAGGTTTGAGAAGAAAGTATGAAATGCTCTTTGAGAGAACTGGTCAGTGAAATAAAGTAGGATTGCCAGGCAATGTTGAAGGTCCATCTGAGTTTTATGATTATAAATTTAAAATAAAACATGTTAGGGTGTTTGTGTATTTTTCTTGTACCATGTTTGGATAGAGACTTAGTTTCATTGAATCATGTTACAAGGATCATGGCTTGTTTTGTTTTTCGTATTTCACCACCATTGTTTTTTGCTTTAAGGGTACAAATAATAGAACATATTTATAATATATTTTTATTTTGTTTTGTTTGTGTATTATTATGAGGTATTTTAGTAATATTTGTATAGGATTGTTTTTATTATTAGCTGATTTGGCAATAATTGTGATTGAAGATATTAGACCATTTCCCTGAGCATTCTAAATCTTTGAAACCAATATGCTGGCCATTGGTTTCTTAAGTGATGAGTGTTGCTTGGTTTGTCTCCAGAGCAGTTCACTGGGAACCATGATCACTAATACTGTGTGTCTGCTACTGGTAGCCCCTACATTTCTTCCTCATTCCTAATCATCTCCATAGGTCTCAGCTTTCCAGGTCTCTGTGTGGGGTGAAACTGAAGTGGGACCTTCATGTGGTTCTACGTGAACCCTTGCAGATTTCACCAGCTTTTACCCCGTAGATATTAACATTCACTGATGCCAGTTGCCTGAGTCCTGCTCCTCCCCCCCCCCCCCCAAAACTCTCCTTAGAACCCAGGAACCACACTGGCAGCCAGCTCAGGTTTCTGCAGCTGCCTGAGTGTAAGGTACCAGCCTAGACCCCTGTGGCTGACCACTACCACTGTGTGCACACTTGGGGCTAGCTCCTCCAGGTGTGAACTTGCATGCTGCCGACTTGATGCCCATCACCAGCCTCCACTGCTGTGTGCATGTCCTGGGGGAGACTGTGCAGCAACAGGAGAGCATGCCATACAGCTAGGCTCCCTGCAGCTGCTTCTGGGCCGGGACCAGGCCCTCTCTTCTGTCACTGGCCTGTATCACTGTGCTTACGTGCAGCTAGCCCCACTAGCTGTGTACCTGCACA